TTGCATATGTGTAAGGTATGCTATATGTTCTGAAATTTCATACGATCCTAAATATTCATAAACTTATTACGCCGCTGTTTCTTATTTCTCATCTTTTTTTCCATGCCTATTTACTAACGTTATTATTGTTGCTAATTTTTTTTATTCCATTCAATCATTAGAATTGTACAGATGTGACTTGTGTTTTATTTTCTCATATTTTGTATGTTTTTCATCTCATTCTTAAGGAATCTTATCATATTCTTGTAGAATTTTCTTAATTTCTTATATATTTTTTAAACATTCTTAAAGAATCTAATCTCATTCTTGTACAATAAGCCTAATTTCTTTAGAATTTCATTATGTTGGAATTTTGTTTATATCACAAAATTATAATTTCATTCTTGGTATTTTTTATATAATTCTTAAATAATTTGATTACATTTTTATGCTTCACATTCTTACAGAATCTGACAATGGATATAATATATATTGTTTGCAAATGTTTTTTTGTTGTTCATGCAGAAACACGAAATAAAAACTACTTCTTGAATGGAACACATAATAATGGAATCCAAAATAGAAACTTATTCTTGAAGAATAAAATGCTAAACATAAATTGATTCTTAAAGAACGGAACACATAATTTAATTTATTATTTGAAGAACAGAATGCAGAATATGGGAAAGTTAATTTGGATTTGAAATGTTCATATTCAAAAATGTAATTTGTATTGTTAAACTTTGATTTGAAATTTCCCTGAATTTTTGGTCTGTATCCCTTGATATATGCATTTTCTTAATTTGTTATTAAACAAAGTGTCCATTGTAACATTATTCGCTATTTTCATATATAAAATAATTGATTTTTTAGAATTAATTACCATCATGCCATTGTTCATCATAATCACTAATTCATTTAATCTAATGGACTAAAATTGGTAACACATTCACATAATAGTTGTGATTCACATTTGATCATATATATATATATATATATATATATATATATATATATATATATATATATATATATATATATAAGAGTCAAGATCAAATAAGAAGGAAATTTTTGGTAGGAAGGTAAGAAGTTTTTTTTCTACATATTTTTTTCGCGAACAAACAAAATGAATCATTAGATGATTCAATTGTAAGATGATTCACAAGAAAAAATTGTTAAAAAAAAACATCTTGATGATTCATTTATACAATGATTTTGTTGTTATTCACTAAAATTGTCATAAAAGTGAATTTTTTCTTAATTTACTTAAAAATGAATCATAAAGATGTTTTTTTGAGAATTTTTTCTTGTGAATAATCTTACAAATGAATCATTTAGTGATTCATTTATTTTGTTCGTCAAAAAAATATGTAGAAAAAAAACTTCTTACCTTCCTACCAAAAAAAATTTCTTACCGGATCTATATATATATATATATATATATATATATATATATATATATATATATATATATATAGACACACACACACAATAATTACGATTGTCTGGATAACAAGATATTAGGACATACTAATAGCTAAGTACAGTGTGTATCCTTAAACTTTGGCCACTATTACTTCTAGGTACTATGTTAACCTAGGAAAATGGTCAACATAACATCTACGTATAATCCTTTCATAATATATCGGGTAGTATACCAATTAGGCATTATATTTTGCTTAAAAGTAGGCAGAGTATCTACAAACATATTAATGTAACGTTTCATGCTTTGTATACACTACTGATATAAATGAAATATATTTTCGTAAGTTGACAAAGTAGTTTGGAAGCATGTATCCCCCTTCCCCGTAAAACATTTGAAATAGTAAAAGTGGGGTCGTAAACTCATTCTTGATGTGTGATACCGCTGACGCAGGGTAGAATCGGGGCTCGGGACTCCGAAAGTTGCTTCGGGATTGTAGTAGCTCCAAATGTGACAGAGAGAGTTGAGACCTGAGGGATGCAAAAATGGGATTGTTGGCCCTGCTATTTATAGTCAAGATTTTGGGGTGCGTGCCACGCAATTAGCTGTGCGCGTCGTGCGTGATCATCATGACTCCATCTGGGAGTGTCATGTGTCACTCTCTCTCGGGGCCACATCACTCGCAATCCGATCAAAATTGGTATCTGGTGTACGCCGCTCGATGGAGCGCACCTCATCCGCACAAAAAGGATTTTGAAAAATCCATATCTTATGCGTACGAGCTCCAATCTCTACCTTCTTTGTATCTATATGACGATCTAAACTAGTATTACAAGTTTCCTTTAGGTTGTTTTGACTTTCATCTTTTTTCTTAACGAGGGTAAAAATAAATCATTTACAAAAATCATATATCTCTCATACGGACCCCATTTTTAGCATTTTTTTGTCGTAAAGTTCTTATCTCGAGGAGTACTATGATTTTCCTTTTTGTAACTTTAGTCAAAACTCAACCGATCTCTATGTGTCGTTTCAATGTTGTAATAATTTTTTATGCAGTTGATTTTACTTTTTACTGAAATCATAACTTCTCCAATCGGAGTCGGATTTCTACGAATTTTATATACTTGTACTCACGACAATGAGTACTTTCCGAATATATTAACCGTTTTGAAAGGCGGTACAACTTTTTGAATGCTTATTTTTAAGCCTAAACGTCAACTTATTTTTAAATGTTACAGAATATTTGATTATATTTATCTATAAATCAAACATTAAAATATTAAGCTATTATATTTATCTCTCTCTACTACTTCTTAACAATGGTCAGTGACATGAATTTTCTCGATTGTCACATAATGTAACCGTGACAAAACAACTTTTGACTTACTAAACCAAACAGGGGTTCTAACATTAGGATTTGTGAATGAACAAAAGAACCAATCAACTTAGAAATCGGTGTATAATGACTAATATCCATTACATGACATACAAATCAACCACAAGTAAAGCGTGTAATCGAGTCTAAGTAGAAGCGTCTTTAGTTGTCAGTTTCCTAATCACTTTTCCATTTTAGTTTCATTTTAAGTTATATCTCGTTTAGAGTTAAACAATTTCTCCTTTTTAGTTTCGTTGTCTTTACTTTAACTAATAATCATATTTTATAATATTACTCCATTCTTGTTTCCCTAATGTTTGACAACCAGTCTTACTAAGATTGGGTACACTTGCCCATTTATCTAATAGTTCATAACATTTGTGTAATCGTCATATAAATTTGAAATTGGATTTTACACATTAGTCCTCATGAACAAAAAACGATATGTAGGCTCTTGATCCTTAGTTAAGGTTGAATATTTAGCCATGGTCACTATGGTGAATGACTTTTATGGAATTTATGGCTTCTACATGATCTAGATACACTCCCACTGAGCCTATGTTTCTTTAAGGTGACAATCCAACAATTCGAGACATCGCCAACAATCTAGTATTTTATTAGCAAACCAAAGACCATGAAATAGTCTCTCGTTTTGTAGGAGAGTGATATATGTGATTCAATTGAGATCGATCAAGACTCTTGCTGACACCACAAAGAAATTTTCCGACATCTCTACCAACATAGGCGGATCTAGTATATATCCCGGGGTAGCCCGGGATACCCCTTAAAAAACTTTCAGTAGTGTAATTTTTTTCGGATTTTTTTTCTTATTGTATATTACGCGATTTTTTTGTCGGGATACCCCTTTACTTTGATCATGGCTCCGCCACTGTCTACCAAGGCATGTAACACTTTCGTTTTCTACTCAAAAAGCTGAGAATTCGTGACCTTGCACCAACTTAATGTGGAGTAAAGGTAAAAATATATTTTCCTATCTCGTCTTTATCTTTTCCTTCTTTTTTGTATGTATATCTACGTAATGATCACCTCAACTGTAGCAGTACCTCTTGTAATTTTTTTGTGTACATTTCCTATTATTCTCAGTAAAAAAATGCAAGATTGAAAGGTTATAAATTATGCATTCGTGCATGAGTTGTAAAGTTTCAATCATTGTGTGGTGCCATGTTTCTTTTAAGAAACTAGTATAAGTTTGAAAATATACACCTACTATTTTACTAAAAGTTAATATTTTGTTTCACATAATTGTCTTTCGTAGAAGATGAAAAGACAATCCATTATTGTCACTATCATTATCATTTTCTATCTTCACTTTCTTTCTTGTAGAAACCATATATTGATTATCACAGTTACGTGTCGAACTCATGTAATAAATATTCGTACATATATTGTAGTATACTGTATAACTACTTTGTACACTTCTTAATATCCTACTATTAGAAATTAATTTAGCTAGTGAAACCTTGCTTCCTATATTAAATAGAACAATAATGTGGTATAGGATGGTATTTAGTAAACCTTCCCACCAACTCACCTACTAAACGACCAAATACTTCCTCCCCTTGTTCTTTTAGTACAAGTTTTGAGAACCGTTTAGAATTACTATTGGGTCAACTCTGTAATTATCGAGAAATATGCAATTGAAAACCCAGGTTGATTTATCAAGAATAAAAGAATATGAAGACGCTTTCACATTTTAAGTAATTTCTGCATTCAAAATCAATAAAGTTACTACCAAAAGGCAATTATTATATAATTAACAAAACTACACGTATACACGGCCCTCTATCTACCCTGTTTTTTTTTGTGTCCATTCATATTATACAATATAAAAGTTTTAGATTTCTTAATTGCATTTAAAAAGTGTACCTAATTATTTTACAAATAAGGAAGAAGCTACAAAAATATTGAAAAATAAGTGTTAGCTATGTCGTTACTCTTCACAACAATATTACTCAATTGATATCCAATTAACAAATCTTTTAGTTATGTCTATTTTTTATAACAGCAAAACATTATTCAAAGAACCAGGAAGAAAGTATTCGACAAATTTGGAACTATATCGCAGATATAGCCGCATAAGGGCATGAGATTTAAATCAACCAATTTGGACAATTTCCACTTCGAGTATACATCCAACTAAACAATTGTAATTAAGAACTGTCGACGTATGACATGATAAAATGATAATTGAGTTTCAACGTTAACCGATAATCTAAAATATTCTAGACCGAGTTCATAATAATAATTCATAATAACTGATGTATGATGTAAGATGTGTTGGATATATAAATAAATACATAATAGTGGACATGTTATTCGTTTCATCGACAAATGCTTAGCTATTTTTTACTCACAGAAAACCTCACAAGGAAAAAAAAAAAGAAAAAAAAAAGTAAAAATTCTAATAATTTTCTACCGAAATAACATACACTAATCAATTCAAGCCAAACCCTTGACTCTAAAAAAGGTAGGGTTATGCATGGAAGATTTAAGTAATATTCTTTATATATATATATTCAAACTATATATATTTGTGTATGACTAGATAACCACACAAGAAATATAATCAACAGGCTGCCGACGGATTAGTGAAGGAGTTAAAGTAGTGTGGTTTAGCAGCCATATTAAAAGGGTTCTTGACTGCGGAGGATTTGGTGTCTCCGATCCTTTCACATGACGGACACATGGTTAGGGTGGCGGCCGGCAGCTGCATGTAAAAGGGTTGCGATGACTTGAGTGCTTTAAGTTCTTGAAGCTCTTTATGGAGTCTTCGGTTATCATCCCTTAACGTCTCACAGCATTTCTTCAAGTGTTCAAAGTCCATTTCGGTTTGCTTCAGCTTCGTCCTTTTAATTAAACACGCAACATAATCAGAAACTCCATTTAGTCAAATAAACTTTATCATTATCCGAGTAAAGTTTGTTAATGTATTTATTTTGAATTAATATTCTCAAGAATTTATGATTAATGGCGTATGTTGAAAGGTAGCAATAGTGTTGCGAATAATTTATAGTTATATATTGCAATCAACTGGAGACAAAAAGAGCCCACATAAATATTTTTGGTCTGTTGTTGCTACCTCAATCATCATGGCATATTTTTATCATATACTATTATTTATTTATTTTTTTCTTAAAGGAGAAACAAGACAAATAACACAATGGAAACAATGATAAAGCATCCATAATATATGCCCATTTTGTTCAAAATAAGTTGGTATTTGTATATCATTCAATCAAAAAGTTTTATCACCTCGTATGTGGATTTTGGTAAATTACTTGTGATGTACAGTTACTAATATATATTCATGACACAGTACTTTGTTAGAAAACAGAAAGAACGAAGAGGAGAACATGATATGCACCCAACATATAAACATGATCCATATTTTTATTTCTTATCTAAATTCGTCAAAAATGCATTAAACATAAATTACTAAAAATAAAAGGAAAGAAACAAAATCTTTTTGTGGGTCATCTAAAATCTCAAAATTCTTATTATCATTTATTTCGTGGTCATTTATAGATTATTAATCATTGTTTTTAGATAAAATTAAAAAATCATTTTAAATATGCTAGCTTAGGTAATTAAAACTTGTTCATTCAAAATGTTATAAATCTAAATCATAAAGGTACATGTGGATTAACCAAAACAAATCATGTTCAAGAAAATTTTAAAATATTCTGAACTCAGTTTAATCTTGTAAAGAATCAAAGGCATGATTAATACCTGGCTCTTCTGTTTTGGAACCAAACTTCAACTTGCCTGGGCCTCAGCTTTAGCTCTCTTGCTAGTTCTTGCTTTTGTTTCTGCTAATATTCAACACTAATTATCATTAGGTTTCATTATTAATCATAATTTATTAGCAAGAACTCTAGGGTATTGTATGTGTGTGTGTGTGTGTGTGAGAGAGAGAGAGAGAGAGAGAGAGAGAGAGAGAGAGAGAGAGAGAGAGAGAGAGAGAGAGAGAGAGAGAGAGAGAGAGAGAGAGAGTAGGGTTACACATACAGGGTTTAAAGAGCTGTGAAGTTTGAAGGCTTCTTCAAGAAGAGCGGACTGGGGTTTCGTGAGTCTGAGTTTCTTCCTACCATTAATACTACCATCATCATCTTCAACATCATCAACACTTGTTGTGCTCATCAGTCGTGAATAATTATTATCATTTGAAACTCTCTCTGATTCTTCACTCCCAAGCTCTCTCTCCCTCTTCACACTCACGTTCGAAAAAGAAGAACCTCCACCACTGATTACCGTACTATCCTGACGACACAAACCACCATGATCATCACCACCTCCTCCGACCACAAGTTTCTTATTGGGGTCTCCTGAAAGACCTAACGTTAACGATGGCTCAAAACTCGCCATGGTCTCGGTCACCCACGGCAGCTTTGTGGAACCCATGGTGTTGGGTTTGACCATGGATGGCGATGAGTTAAGACTTAGTCCTAAGGCAAGACCTGCGTCAGAAAGACCATCAAACCCCATCTGATTGTTGAATTTATGAATGAATTGATGATAGATGAGTATAAGAAGAAGAGGAATCCAATCGAAGATATTATGAAGGAAAATAATCGGTAAGGCGGTGTGTGGGGTGTGGAAAGGTATGATGGTGCTTTAAAACGAGATGAATGAATCCGTAGAAAATGGAATATGGTCTGTGGAGTGGAATTAATTAAGATGGTCAAGAAAATAATAAATGAACAAGAAAAAGTAAAAGAAAAAGTTATAATTCTTACTATACATAGGTTGACCTTTTTGAGCAATAACAAACAAGAATCAAAGCAAACTTGAAGATTACTCTTTAGTTTGATTCAGTACACTTTCATACTAGCTATATATCGAATATACTCTTCGAGTATAAATGATAAGATATGCTATTTTATAAAGAAAAAATAAAGTGTCTAACTTATAATTGGCATATAGAATTTAGGTACAAACACATCAAAGGTGTATATATTAAAGAAGAAAAGAAAACGTATGGACTTGATCGTTTGGATAAAATTTTAATTGGTTAATACAAAGTACAAACCGTATTTTATGTAATAATTATGAAATATTAGTTAATTTATCCCTTTTCTATAATACCTAACACTTTTGCTTACACTAGATGTCCATCCAACAAATATATATTCTTATATAGTCGAAATAACCTAATCAATAATTGTAATAATGATGACAAGATTGATTAGTTTTTTTAATCCTTAGTCAAGTGGATAATTATGTTTACGACTCATTCTCCTGGAAAAGTCGCGCATAAAATCTTGGAATGTCTAACCAAAATCAAGATTCTTTATGTTTTATGGGGAAAGGGAGGAGTATGCATTTCTTTTGGCCCATGATTGATGGATGGACGACATTTCGTGGGGTACTCAAAATCATTTGGCTATGGAAACAATGCCGACAAATGATTCCTCCAACTTTTACAACACCATCATATACTTCTTCATTTGCTGCGATTCTTAGTCATTTCTTTTCCTTTTATTTCTAGAAGCATATGCTATTCACCAGAAATGCCATCACTTGAAGTAGGATTCGTTACCAATAAAACAAGGTGTAGTTCTCTTATATTGATAACATAAACCACTAATATAAACTATACCATTTAGTCTTCCATACAATCCCTTTTAAGCAATATATAATATGCTATTAGTTTCTTCAAGAAACATTGTTTCAAAATTCAAATTAATTATTTTATATGTATATAGTAACCCGTATAGCAAGCACGAAAAGAGGATTTTAGAAAAAAAAATAAGGTATTTTCATATCATAGTATAGGTTATAAACTCACTAGACGAATGACTGTGCGTTGTACAGAAATAACTATATAGTTGAAATCTTTACAAACATACGTTTTTTAAATATAACAATAGCGTTGTTATTAAATTTGATATAATAATTCTTATACTAAGTTGATGTAATATATTTATTATTTTGAATTATGTAATAATATGTACATCTATTAAAACTGTATAATCTTAATCGTCTGAATTACTTCTACCTGCGAGTTACTAATGAATAAAATTAAATATAATCTATGACTTAATGTTATTTATAGTTTTTATTATGGTTAAGTAATTAAAATTTATTTGCTTAACGTTTTAACTTCTATCATTTTAATTATTTAAAACTCAAACATTGTTTTTGTTTTTAAAGGTAACAATATAATCATTTATGTAGTTTATTTTTAACTATTATTAGTGTAAGTTATTTTAAGTTATTTATTTGAAAACTTTTAATGATTCTAAAAATATCTTTAGGAAATATTTTAGTTAATATGAGATTACAATTTACTTTTTGTATTTAGCACTATAATTTATCACTTTTAACTATTACAAAATATTCTTTGAGTTTTTTAAGTTGAACTAAAATTTATATTTAAGTTGACCTGTAATGTTATATTTAAATTAATAATCTAAGTATTTTAACAAAACTGTTTAAATATAGTTTTTATTATGGTTAAGTAATTTTTTAAAATTTATTTGCTTAACGTTTTAACTTCTATTATTTTAATTATTTAAAACTCAAACATTGTTTTTTGTTTTTAAAGGTAAACAATATAATCATTTATATAGTTTATTTTTAACTATTGTTATTGTAAGTTATTTTAAATTATTTATTTGAAAACTTTTAATGATTCTAAAAATATCTTTAGGAAATATTTTAGTTAATATGAGATTACAATTTACTTTTTGTATTTAGCACTATAATTTATCACTTTTAACTATTTACAAAATATTCTTTTGGTTTTTTAAGTTGAACTAAAATTTATATTTAAGTTGACCTGTAATGTTATATTTAATATAATAATCTAAGTATTTTAACAAAACTGTTTAAAACTTGTAGCTTTAAAATGATAATGGTTCAAATACAACAACATATTAAAACATATAAATTAAATATAATATGTTAAAAGTTAAAGACATAACTTTATAAGTGGAAGTAAAATATATTACTTTAATATTGAAATTTAGTTTATTTATGATCGGTTTGATAATTATTTAACATTATTAACCTATTTATAATCATTATTACAAAGAACTTGAAAATTCATGGGAGTTTCAAATGAATGTGGTGAAAGAAAAAATGTTACCTGTATAAGTATAGTAGGTGAATGCTCGCGCGTTGCGCGAAAACACCTATATAGTTACAAATATATGTTTTCTTAAATATAACAAGGACCTTGTTGTTAAATTTAATATAATAATTCGTATACTAAATTAATATATTATATTGATTATTTTGAATTGTATGATAATATATACATTTATTAAAACTGCATAATCTTAATCGGTTGAATGACCTCTACCTGCGGGTTACTCATGAATGAAAATAAAAAAACAATATATGGTTTAATGTTATATAGTTGTTATTATTGTTAATCATTTTTTTTAAACTTATTAGATTAACATTTTAACTTCTATCATTGTAATTATTTAAAATATCAAACATTTTTTTTTGTCTTTAAATGTAACAACATAATCATTTATATATAGTTATTTTTAACTATTGTTATTGTAAGTTATTTTAAGCAACTGATTTGAAAACTTTTAATGATTATAAAATATCTTTAGCAAATATTTTAGTTAAATTGAGATTACAATTTATTTTTTGCATTTAATACTAAAATTTATCACTTTTAACTATTCACAAATTCTTTGGGTTTTTTTAAGTAGAACTGAAATTTATATTTAAGTTGACTATGTAATATTATATTTAAATTAACAATTTAGATATTTTATCCAAACTATTCAAAAGTTGTAGCTTTAAACTGATAATGGTTTACATACAACAATATATTAAATCTAATAAATTAAGTATAATATGTTTAACTTCTATCATTGTAATTATTTAAAATATCAAACATTGTTTTTTATTTTTAACAGTAACAACATAATCATTTATATATATATATATATATATATATATATATATATATATATATATATATATATATATATATATATATATATATATATATTCTTAACTATTGTTATTGTAAATTATTTTAAGCTACTTATTTGAAAACTTTTAATGATTATAAATATATCTTTAGCAAACATTTTATTTAAATTGAGATTACAATTTAGTTTTTGCATTTAACACTAAAATTTATCACTTTTAACTATTCACAAAATATTTTTTGGGTTTTTTAAATGGAACTGAAATTCATATTTAAGTTGACCATGTAATGTTATATTTGAATTAAAAATTCATATATTTTATCCAAACTGTTCAAAAGTCGTAGCTTTAAACTGATAATGGTTTACACTCAACAACATATTAAATCTAATAAATTAAGTATAATATGTTAAAAGTTAAAGACATAACTTTATAAGTAGAAATAACGATGTTATTTTAATATTGAAATTTAGTTTATATATGATTGCACTTTACGTTTGATATGTATTTAACCTTATTAACCAACTTATAATCATTAATATAAAGACACTACAATTTATCACTTTTAACTATTTACAAAATATTCTTTGGGTTGTTTAATTTGAACTAAAATTTATACTTAAGTTGTCCTTGTAATGTTATATTAAAATTAACAATTTAAGCATTTTATCCAAACTGTTAAAAAATTATAGCTTAAAAATGATAATGGTTACATACAAGAATATTTTAAAACTAATAAATTAAGTATAGTATGTTAAAAGTTAAAGACATAACTTTATAAGAAAAAGTAAATATATTATTTTAGCATTGAAATTTAGTTTATATATGATTACACTGTAGGTTAGATATTTATTTAACCTTATTAGCCAACTTATAATCATTATTAGAAAGAAAATGAAAAGTCATGCGAGTTTCAAATTAATGTGGTAAAAAGAAAAATGTATCCTTTATAAGTATACTAGGCGAATCCCCGCGCGTTGCGCGAGAATAGAATTATATAGTTAAAATAATAATTTTTACCAAATTATTATTTAATATTTCTACTTTGAAACAAAATGTTAGTAGTAAAGCAAACATATAGTTAGCATATTAGTTTTATTAAAAATTATATTTTAATTTTTAAGTTATTGTGATATATACAATTATTTGATAATTTTATAAACCGTTTAAAATTGTGTAAATTATATATAAAATGAATGATAATATAGCGGGTAACAAAACGTATGAACAAAAATATGAACTGCAACTTTTAGTAACATAAAAATAGAAAAACATCTATTATAACATTTGTATTAAAAAAGATATATATATATATATATATATATACAACGAATAATAAAAAATATGAAAAATAAACACTATAACTTTTAAGAACATAAAAACACTAAAACATCTATTATAACATTTATATTAACTATTCATATTTAAATCACAAATCTCTTCAAATACATTAATGTTTTTAATGAACAAAACTTTACAACCTTATAAAAGAAAGGAAAATAAAAAGTTATTAGTGATTACTAATTAATAATCATAAGTTAAAAACTCTTGAGTTGTAACTAATAAATATACATAAATTAGAAAACTCTTGAGTTGTAGTGTGAGCTTCAAATGAATGCGGTACTTGGAAATGTATTATTATTATTATTATTATTATTATTATTATTATTATTATTATTATTATATTCGTCTAAATAATTGGTTTTGATGCATCATTTTAATCCCTTCAATTATTAAACATAAAGATATTTAATTATAAATTTATAACATACATAGGTGCATATACATGTTAAACAAATCACATATAATATATATATTTTCGTAAATGTCATATGTAATTCTTGTCGTAGTAATATGAATAAATTACTTTCATATGAAGAACATATCATGATAAGTCTATCATAATTACATATCAAATGTTCAAAATTATGTTATCTTTTAAATATTGTCTTTTAAATATGTTGTGTAGGATAACCGAACAAAAAAATAATAGAAAATAAACATAATCAA